CCCCCCCAGCCAAAGAAAGCAGAAGCAATCAGAGGAATAGTATACAGCATCCAGTTCTGTAGATATAGACTCATATAGCAGTTTCAATTGCTTAAGGCTAGCATATAGGTAGGCGAAAAACGTAAACAACTACTGGTTTGACATATAGAGTAATGCAGCAATCCCAGCCTACCCATTGTGAGCACACCAAAGCTGGCCACCGTGCCATTTAAGAAAACATACATATTGTCCCAGGGTTCAACAACTTCAACTTACCCAAGCCATCATGGCAGGCATTAGGGAACGAGCACTGAATGTTCTGAAGGCCAGGTAACGGATATGAACCATCATCAATATACTGCCATCGTGCACATTGACAATCAAACAGAAAGGTGGCCATACAGTAGTCCTCACGACTCCTCAGTAGCACTACAAACACGCATTAAGAGATTCCCATTGGCCACTGCCTAACAGCAAGACTGAGCAAGTAGTGCCCGCAATAATCGGTGCAATTCCAAGAACATGAGACTGCCAATAGGGTCTCAGTATACTTTCTGACTTGCACTCAGACGTAGAATCACAGCCACTGAAGGCTATAAAGCTCCACCACAATGGTAGGCAAAAGTCTTTACTCCCACAGAAGTGTTCATGAGCCAACTAACGAAAAAGACAACTTACTTAAAGTAATACTGAGGTAAATGAGATGGAGAGAGTTTGAGCTTTGAACAGTAGCCCTTCGGCCCCTTCCTGAGCGATCCAAGAGTGCCATCCTTTCAATTGCTTTATAAATGATAATCCACCTTTTTTTGTTTTTTGGGAAATTTGCTCCAGTCTATTGGTGTGGAGCGTCACCTGCTGGAAACCGGGTCCAGCGTCCCAAATACATCCTTCAGTAAGTACACACAGTATTGAAAAAGAAAATGAGAAACTGTAATTACCGAACTATCTCTTACTGGGATTTATTCCGCTCCGTTGTTTAACAATTTACCTTGTTGAAAAACTCATTAATTGGTTGCATAGGTAAGTATTCCAGAAGAAAGTAGAAAGATTGAGTGAGTGAGTGAGTGAGTGAGTGAGTGAGTGAGTGAGTGAGTGAGTGAGTGAGTGAGTGAGTGAGTAAGTGAGTAAGTGAGTGAGGGAGGGAGGGAGTGAGTGAGTGAGGGAGGGAGGGAGGGAGGGAGGAAGGGAGGAACGGAGGGAGGGAGGGTGCTAATGAGTGATCCGGAATATAACAAGTAACAAGTGAGTGACTGAAAATATGGATATCACAATTCATTGAATTCAAGTCAAAACTCGCAGTTCAGGAAATTGACAGAGTCCTAGGACGTCAATCATCTATCCAGGTCACCAGGAAAGTGACTAAGTACGGAGTAAAGTGAGAGAACCTGATCGCCTCCATCAAGCCTTACCTCCCTGTCTGGTCCAGTGGTCCTAGAGCGCAAAGTACCGCAAACCCTTGTGCTCCCCAACTGTGTCACCGAGTTAGTCACATAGGCTCATGCTCTGCTAGTCCTTAATACAGTCAGCAAGTTCCACTGTCTGAGCAATAGCCTCCAGCGCAGGCAGAATGGCATCTTCACGTGTCGTCATGCTCGGTCTGTGGCTTCTGTTCAAACTTGCACATCTGAGCCCCACCCGAGCTGCTGCCAAGGCCAGATCGATGTCCCAGCTTCCTGCGTTTGGGTCGAGCACACTTTCAAAGGTCGCGGCATCTTCCACGGCGTCTTCCATGACTCCCAATGCATTCCTAAACTTCCCACTGAGCATCTCCAGGAGGGTGATTCCAAATGCGTAAATGTCACTCTGCTGAGTGAAAACCTCAGTTTGAATCAATTCTGGGGCCATGTACTTTACATCGCTTGCTGGGCACTGAGCCAGATTAGGTGCTTCACCATCCTCTGCAAGTGTTGGGGCCAGCAGGGCGGTATCTACTGCTGTGATTTTGGCAACAAAGTTACCATCCAGGAAGATGTTTTCAGGCTTGATGGCGCGGTGGACGATGGGACCACCCCTCAGAGACTGGTGGGAATGAAGGAAGGACAAACCTTGGGCAACTTGAGCCATAATCCGCAAACGGATGTACCATGGGAGGAAACCCTTTTGTGACCCTCTTGAGGACGACATCCAGTCTTTCACATTTCCATTGGTCATATGCTCGTACACGAGRCAATTTCCTTCATAGCAYACTCCGAGCAACATATGCAGGTGGGGGTGTCGAAGAGACTTCAACCGGTCCCCAAGCTTCCTCGTCACTTGGGCTGGCYGATTCTCTGSCCTGAGGTTGATATACTTGAKTCTCTTTATCACAGCAGATGTGAGCTTGCCGATGTAAATGYATCCATCGCGTTGCTCTTCAAGCTTGCAGTTATCATGGAAGTCRTTCGTGGCGGTCCTCAGCTCATCCAGGGAAAACTCTCTGAATGCCATTGGATGGATGTCCAGTTTCGGGACCCCCTCAGGCACTCTGTCAGCCCTTTCCGATCTCTCACTTGCACATCCTACCATCTCCAACTTGCACTCCAATTCTTGAACCCTGATGTTCGATTTCCCCAACCTCTCTTTCAGAGCGTCTCTTTCAATCACCAGATTCCTTTGTTTCTTCTCTAACTGGTTCACAGTGTTCACACTTTCTGAGTGCATACCTTTTAACCTTTCATGCTCCAATTGGGATCTCTCAAACCTCTCTCCTAACGCCTCCCTCTCCACCCTTACATGGCTAAGCTGAGTCTCAAGCTCCTTTACCATTTGTGCACACGCTCGCCTCTCTTTCTCAAATCCCTCTTCAAGAGACTTCTTCTCCGCCCTCACAGTTTTCAATCCCTCCACAGCAGCCCTTTCCATCTCCAAGCTGCATTCCAAATCCTTAACCTCGGCCTTTGATTTTTTTAATCCCTCTTTGAGTGCCATCCTTTCGACCAAGAGGTTGCTGATTTCATTCTCCAGCTGCTTCACCCTCTGTGAGTGCATGCTTTTCTCCCCCTCGTGCTGCAATTTCAATCTCTCGAATGTCTCTCTTAATGCCTGCCTCTCCGATTTTACATTGCTTAGCTCAGTCTCAAACTCCTTTATGGTGTGTGCATGTGTTTGCCTCTCACTCTCAAATCCCTCTTCGAGGGCCTTTTTCTCCCCCCTCACAGAACTCAGCTCCATCTCCAATTGCTTATTAATCCTTTGTACGTCTGTTTTCTCAAACTGGGATCTTTTGTCACCTTCTGCAGTCACATGTCCCACCTCCATTTTCCCTCTCCCCTCAAAGTCGGGCTCGGGCGAAACACCTTCTGCGGTAATGAAACACATTTTTTGTTTACATGGAAGCACGAGCAAGCTGTCGGTCCTACAGAGAACGCTGTGCGATAATCCCTCAAGGCCGCTCCAAAGTGTTTTTATTAGCTGATAATTTGAATCATTCCAGGCCTTGATGGTTCCGTCCTCGGATGCGCTCAAAATGCAGGGCAAATGTGGATGGAAGAAAGCTTGCACAACGGCCTGTTCATGTGCATCAAGCGTGGTGATGCATTCATTCCTCTGATAATCCCAAACCTGTAGCTTTCCAGATTGATGGCCCGTGATGATAAGTGACTTTCCCGGTTTTGTGCAGAATCGCACAGAAGTAACTTCGCCTTCTGCTTCCAATGTTTGGAGAGTGACGGTCTCGTGGGTCTCAGTATCAGCATTCCACACGTTGATTGTCCAGTTCTTATGCACGGTCGCAAAAATGTGTGATTCAAAAGGGTGGAAGCACATCATGGTCACTTCGTTTTGAGTATGGCAGTCGCTAAAATCAAAACCTGTGGTTAAGTCCCGAAAGTTAATAGAATCGCCAAATCCTGTCCTACTGTACAATACAGATTGGGCAGACGAATGTACAGCCCATTTGCTCACATCCCCGTAAGTTCCGAACCAATTGACTCGTTTTATTTCCTTCATCTGTCCGGCGGAAGATGGCAAGATCTCATAAACATACATATCCCGTTTACCACGGACCACAACTTTATCTGTCTCACCGAGGAACTTCGCTCCGTACGTGTTGGTGGCATTCTTGACCGTGACCTCCACCTGATGTCCATCTTCGTAATTCCACACTCGGAGGGTTGGAGGTTTTCCAGCAGAGACAGAAGCAATCCATGGCTTGGAAGGGTGCACATCAAACTCCTCTTCCCCCACCAAGTTATCTCGCTCCTGAAACTTCAGTCTCAGGTCGACTTCCTTTCGTCGACGCCTTAACCGCCACATAACTGAAAAGAATGAGAACGGCAGTGCCGGAAATGGCAAGGAGGGGAATCAAATACCAAGAGTAAAAGGTGAAGGGAGACGGAACTGCGGGGGGGGCAGAAGGGAACGCAATGATGGACGGGAGGGCAAGGCGACAGGAAGGGATCGGAGATTTGTATGATGAAAACCCGTTCAAAGTGGCATAGCCGCCGCAAACTCAGGGAGGAAGAAGGGAAGACAAAGAAAAAGATCAGCCCCTGGTTTGTTTTGGCACAAAGGGACCTAACAACTCTTCTGCGTTGAATGGTTCTGCAGGTGAGGCTTACTTTGCTACGCTCGGTATGTTAGGAAGAAGAAGGGCGTCACACACGCACTTGGCGGCTATTCTGACGGAATTTATTCATCATTGTGGTCACATACACGCTGTGAAACCGCAGTGCGAGGGTACAGTAAGCAAGCTATAGTGTTCTACTGCATCCGGGCATTTCCATGTCCGATTTTGGAGAGAAGGACGCCGTCGGAGAATAGAATAGAGATGGGGAAACAGACCGGAGCCGGTACAGCAGATGGCAGCTCCGCTCTGCAAAGGAACAGGCAAATGAAATACGGTAATATCCCTCAGACCTAACGGAGGTGGCTCAACGCGTCAACGGTACTGTCGATACACACACATACATCGTAACTGGTAAGCATCAAGAGAAAAAAAAAGGACTCCCGTTCGAATCGCGTTGGAGTGAGTTCGCAAAAATAGTATCACGCCGAGATGTCGGAGATGGGAAAGAAAAAAAGAGAGCTAATATCCCTCATACCTTAAGTTCTATTAGGAAAAAAAAAAAAAAACCTGCAGACCATCGTCATGGGAAGTTCATGTGTTACCGACAGGAGGACTGGGAAGAGGAGGTCGGTTATGAGGACGAGGAGGAGGGAGTTGCACCTGTACCTTCACCTCCTTGGAGTCTTTATTTTTTCCCCGAACTTGGGTCTGTATTTCAACGGTTCATGGGTGTACCAAATGAGCTGGGCCAGTTGGTACCACCTCCGTTTTTTGACGCCCCCCGAAGAGATCAATGTCGGGTCTCGAAGCTGTCCGGAACCTAGTCTGTGCTCCACACACACACACACACACACACACAGAGAGAGAGAGAGAGAGAGAGAGAGAGCTGTCTCTTATACACATCTAGATGTGTATAAGAGACAGCACTGAGGGCGGTACTCCAAAAAGTGTATCCACCTGCAATCACGGCCAAAGCTTGTCTTGTTTTTTGGGACGTACGGATTTGACATGGGCCCAAAATTTTGAAAACNAGAGAGAGAGAGAGAGAGAGAGAGAGAGAGAGAGAGAGAGAGAGAGAGAGAGAGAGAGAGAGAGAGAGAGAGAGAGAGAGAGAGATGTACCTCTTGTCTGTATTGAATTTCGGGTGAGAGAGGCGGAAGCCCACGGAGATGGCAATGGCGAAACTATACGGATGGCATGGAAGTTTTTGAAGTTTGAAGGCTCTCCCCTTCCCCTTCCAGCTTTTAGGCTAGGGAGTGTTTCTACCTGACCGGAGTACAAAACAGAGCGGGTGGGATAGAGCGGAAGCAGCGGAGAGAAGGGCCTCAGCCCACGTGACTGGATGCTACACACATTTGATAAACAGATCATGAGTTCGAGTCCTGCTAAGTTGAGATGGTTGCAGGTAATAACAAATTTTCCGATTTTCCAAGGGACAAGAGAATAGCGATTTCCCGTGCAGCACCAACTTCAGCACTCAGTCGGCAAAATAGAGTAATCCACTTCAGAATCTTCCGTTTCTTCCTTGCCGCGGAGCTACGCTGCCTACGCACAGATGAAACCAAAAATACACCAAAAAAAAAGATAAAAAAGGAAGGCTCAACGATTTCTCTCCCGTATCATCGCCTGCCAAAGATTATAAAAATTAAAGAATAACAAAAAAAAAAAAGACGCTATCAAGCCGTTTGATTTGGAATTAAAAACTCGCCTTGCCATTTATCTCATTGGGGCGATTTTGGCTACTACCGTGCCTTCAGGGAATCCTGAAACCGGATGACTAAGGACCTAGTCAGTTTCCGAAATTCAGTCTCAAACTGAGAATGGATGGCGACGGTATCTTGGAGAAGAAACCGGCAAGATACACTCCTCCCTTCGACATTCTTTAGGTTTTCTTTTTCAAGTGCTGTTTTTTTTTTTTTAACTTGCACTCTTCCATTCGACATTATTCAGTTTTCTCTTTTTCCTTTTTTTTTCCTTTTCTTCCTGTTGATTTTTTACACTCTAAGACTTCCTTTTCCATGCACCATTCTCTTAGGTTTCCCCCCCCCCGTTCTTTTAATCATTTTTCTATTTATGCGATGACCCGTCCAAACACGGACTGAAAGTCTGAAACACACAGCTGATTTCTGAGTTTTGCTCATAGACTGAATGCCTTGCTGAGTTTGCCGCCTGCTACTAAGTCTGTGTGTGCACGCTTGCTCGACTGCATGTCTGTCTGAGTGCTGGTTGGCTTGAGCGTGTGTGTGACCGTGCCTGTCTGAGTGCTGGTTGGAATGAGTATGTGTGTGGCCCGTCAGGGCACTTGCTCGTTCGTTAGGCCCTCAGGGCCGGTACTTACCTGTGGCCGTGACATTGAGGGGTTGCAGCGGGGAAAAGCACTCAAGTAGCGGATAGGCCGGTGCCGCACCTGGAAAGGGTAGATGTGCGGGTACCGGAGGCCGAGCAGAAAAAGACAAAAGTGGCATTTTTAGAGGCCCAGTAGAGTAGGCTAGGTCTAGGCGGGTACCAGTCTGAGTCTAGGGCCTGCACGGGCAATATCAGAGTCTGCAATGATGTTTCCCTCCGAAAAGGAGGAGGTACCGGTTGCTTGGGAGGCCGAGCGGCCTGGAAGTCACCGCCCAAGAGGCAAAGCAGGCCGCTATATCTTCCGTCCGGGCGGAGAGTCCGGCCCCTTTTTCGGCGTGCAAGTTTGGTGACACACTGGTTGATCGCTGGCTGGAGCAGCGCTATGCTGGAGCAGCGCTGCTGGGAAGGAAGGAGAAGGACACGAGGGAGGAAGAAGGAAGGAAGGGGGAGGAGCGCCAGAGGTACTTACCTGGCTATGGTGACAGCCATCTTCATCACCTTGGTGGGCGCTGCAGCAGGAAGGCCCCAGGGGGGGTAGAGCTACACCAAGAAGCTTCGAGGCAGAGTCAGGCATGGCGGCCTGAGCCTGAGCAGCCATAGCTGCTTTGCGTTGTCCTTTGGGCATCTGGGCAAGGCCTAGTAGTCCGCCATAGCCTCGGCCTATGAGAATGAAGAGTGGGAGAGGCGGCCATCATGGCTATGGTGGACCTCAAGTGATACCTACAGTAGAAGAGGAACTCGGACATTGATTTTGGATCAGCCATTCAACATTGTATTATTATTTCTTGTATGAATAAGGGCAGGGGGAGATAAGGAGGAGGAGATTGTTGGGCGAAGAAGAAGTGCCTTGTCATTTGTCTATGCTGGTGTACATCATCATCTTCTTCTTTCTTACTTCTTCTTCTTCTTCTAATCCTCTCTATCATCTCAAATTCATTCATTTCTTTCTGCAATTGGACGGCATTGTACTATCTGATGGATGTGTGTCTTGAAAAGGCCAGGATCATAACATTTATACATTCCATCCTTCTTGCGGAGGGGCCATGATGATAGTCTTCTCTTTATCGTTACTTTTTTAATGGTTGTCCTGAAGGACCATTCTTTAGTTTTTCTGATCCCGCTTTGTCTTTTTTTTGTCTTTTTTTCAATCTTGTCCAGCTTCGATCCCTGGTGTCTTTTCTTTTTCACTTCTTTTCCCCGAAGCAAGGGGAAAATAGCGAAAGCGCAGGAAATACTTAATGGAGCACATCTGTTGAGAGATGGAACTCGGGTTGTACGGACTGTAGTAACGTTACCTTACCGTACCTCTCGCCCATACGTATGGCCTCGTTCCACAACTCGCAGTCAAGTGTGAAATGACACACAGGCCCGGGGGCAAAAAAAAGAGTGAAATGACACACAGGCCGGGGGGAAAACTGCTTCCTCAGCTTGGCCCTCATTGGCCGACTCCTGAGGCCGTCAATGAACAGATTTTGTCCTACCTTCTCATCTCGCTCAGACTTAACAAACAGTCGATAAAATCGACTACGATACTCTGTGCCAGGTTTGAGGGGCTTTTGCACCCGGTCCTTGATCATAAAGAACGCCTACTCTGGGTGGATGCAATAGAACCGATGCAAGAAATCCTTTTTGAAAGTCGGGAGATCCACCCAGACGTAAGTGCTAAACCAGTGGTGTGCATCTCCTCTTAGGCGGGCTGGTAAGTTAGTTCGGGCCTCATTGTCGTCATACTGCTGTGCTCGGAGGCTGGCTAGCCATGCTCCTGCCAGGTGATGCGCGGGATCAAACACATAGACGGGGGGCAGCCGGTGTGCGAGCGTGCATAGGTGCCCATTTTCTTGGTTTACTTCCAGAACAGAATTATCTTAGTATTGTGGTGATAGAATAGTAACCACTGGGCAGTGGAATGTCCAGTCCAATGCTTCAAATCGTTACGAAGATACCAATGAGTAACTTTTTTTATTCCCTTCATCTGGGAGTCGGAAGTATCATAAACATACAACTTGCCTACAGAGTCGGCATGGACAAGTTGGACAACCACCTGATCTGCCTGCCCTATGAACTTTGCTCCAAAAACGGCGCTATCATTAGAGAACACCGTGATGGCAACCTGCTTCCCATTTCATAATTCCACACTCGAAGGGATGGAGGGCTGTCAGCAGAAACAAAAGCAATCCATGGCTTGCAAGGGTGCACATCAAAGTTACTGTTCTTCCCCAACCACGTTAAATCGCTCCTGAAACTTCAGAGAAAGGTCGAATCCCTCTTGCATGTCTGGGCATCCCATCCCATGGTGGATCAACGACATGCCTTTTGTGTGTCCCGGGCTGAGCCTCCCGTCTTGATGCACCGGACTTTAGGTGCAATGCCTTCCACATGATACTGAAAGCAATGAGAAGGGGCCTACTGTAAACGGCAAGGAGAGGAACCAACGGGCGACAGTCGGG